GAGAAAGAGAGAGAATGGGTAGCCTAATTAGAGATAAAATCTCTTGTTTAAAATACTCCTAGTGCAACAAGAGTGTGGGAAATGGTGTAAGAATGTATAGAACCAACTTTGCATAATTGGGTTTGTTGAAATTGCTTGACTGTAATTTCTTGAGACATGTGATGAATGAAGCATGTTATGTGTTTACATAATTTTGAGCCTTTTGGTGTTTGATAAAATGTTTAACAATGATTAAGTATGTTATTTGAATGGAAATGCTATAATAACATGCTTGGTGGAATGTGATTATAGGCTTTGGATATAATTGATATTTGAGAAGTTGGATATGTTGTGGAAATTGTATATGTTCATATATGCTCATAATATGATGAACATGATATTATAGACTGCAATTGCACATTACATTTGTATTGGCAGGGGTTGCATCACATTCATGAGCATTGACATGAGTGCGGGTGTGTGTTCATGTTTTTGATCAAACACCATTCTTGGTGGATGATACGTGGGCTCAGGAAAGTTGGATCTTGGTTCGACTAAGTCACACAAGTTGCATTGAAAAACAAGAATCGGAGTTAACAAGAAGGGCTAGATTCTCCCTCAGGTGTAGGACCCAAAAATTTTGGATACGCACTTCTATTGGTATTGAGTCCATAAAGTGTGTCAGCGTATGTAGAGCCGTTGATAGAAGTCCATGGATGACATGTCAAATAGGTGCCTATTGGTGGAAGTCCATAAATATTCACGCTAAAAAAGACCCAAGGATTTTTAAAATGGTCATTGGATGTTCAATATCAATGGCGGAGGCTTAGAATGCCCGAATACATACGCATGGCATTACATGTGTTATGGGAGCCAATAGAGGATTTAGGTTGCTTTGCATGTATGAGTGTCATCTCATGACATGACATGACATTGTCAAAATCCATTTTGAGTTGCATCTTCTTGAATGAATGTTTGATTAATTGTTGAATTACATGTGAACAGTTCATATGCATCTAGGTTGAAAAATAACCTCTTTAGAAAACACCCTATTAAGCGTGTAAAACTCAGGTAAATTTGAATTTTTATGAAAAATAGTAAAATGATAAATTACCACTTTGGTACAGTTGAAAAGCCAAATTTTTCTGAAACTTAGATGATGAAATGAACCTCACCATTAGATTCGTCTCGAAAAATCTAGTTACCTAGTCAATTTTTGTCAAATTCTGAAACAGTCGATTTTTTTGTGTTTTATGGGACGATCTGGTGTCACGTGACCTAAAAATGAGACATGGAATTAAATTTTAAAAATTAAAAAATAATTTAAAGCTAGTTCAAATAAAAATATTTTGAACTTGAACCGGGATAAAATTTAATCGTTTCGGGACAAAACCGAACCCGGGAATGGAGGACGTGTGGCAATCAATCATTCCAAGGGTTTTAATAAAGGAGAAAAATATATTTTCTCACCATTTTCAGTTGGGTTTTTACGTTGGAGAGGGAAAAGAGGGAAAAAGAGGGAGTTGCAACTTCTCTCTACGATCTACAGCGTTCCTTTGGTCAAATCGACTTTAGCCACGAATTAAATTTCCTCTACGCGGCGAGGGCTGCTATTACATACCAAAAATCGTGGATTTCACAAACGATTGAAAAACAGAATTTTGGGGGGAATCAAGATTTGAGTTTGGTTTGTGTTCTTGAATGTTTCTACAACTTGTTTTTATGCTTCAAGAGGTAGGGTCTTTCTTAAATAAGTTTTTTTCCAACCTAGGGTCATTATATGCAACCGTGTAACTCAGCTGGACCTAGGTTCAACCTTCTCGAGTCCACGCCTCAACCACCAAGAATGATGTTTGATCTAAAAACATGCACACACACACACACACTTATGTCAAATGCCACGAATGTGATGTTTCCCGTACATATGCAAATATAATATACAATTGCAATTACATTATCATGTTTAACATGCTATGAGCACAATATAAACAACTTAAATATCCATAAACCCTTATCCATGGTCAATTACATCATAATCATATAACCACCATCAACAACTTCAATGTCAATATATCATATGCATATACTAACATCAACTCTCAAGCATGTTATAACACAATCAATGCAAATAACACACTTAATTCATATAGACATTTCATCAAACACCTTCAAGGCATAACTGTAAACACATAACATATGCCCAACCAATACGTTTCTCAAGACATCACAAATAAGTAATTTCTATATAATCAATTCATGCTAAAATTGATTTTAACTATTCTTAGTACCCACTTTTCATATTTTAAATTTCATAGGTGTGTGCTATACATGAGATTATATCTCTAACACCCTACCTATTCCATATATCAATCATAGGTTAGAAAAAAATCTAATTATGAAAGGAATCCTACCTCTTGAAACATAGAACAAGTGGTAGAAAGCCTCTAGGAACCAAATCAAGCTTTAGCCCTTGATTTCCAAAAATCCTGTCTATTGTTCTTCATCAAAATCTTCAATTTTTTTGTATGGTTTTGCAGCCCACGTCGAGTAGAACAATCTTTGGTCTTGGCCCGAATCAATTTGACGAACGTAGAGTCATAGATGGTAGAGAGAAGTTGGAAAACTCTCTCTTTTCCCTCTCAAACGAAAACTCAACTGAGATTTGGGGAAGAAATCTTATTTTTCTTCCCCTTTTATACTCTCTAAACACTAAGCCCTCGTTGCACCACACGTTCACTTTTTCCGGTTCCGATTTTGTCCCAAATCAATTAAATTTCACCCCTGTTCAAGTTTATCATTTTTTCGTTTGAACTAACTCTAAATTATTTTTTACTTTTCGGAATTAAATTTTTGATCGCATTTATTTTGGTCAAGCGACACTCAATTGCCTCGTAATACATGAAAATTCCGACTATCTAGAAATCCAACAAAAATTGACTAGGTAACTAAATTTCACAAAACGAATCCAAAGATGAAGTCTGTTTCGTCATTTAAGTTTTAGAAAATTTTGAATTTTCAACTCGTACCGTAATGACTAATTATCATTTTACCTTTTTCACAAAAATTTAAATTTATCCAAGTTTTACAATTAAAACTTTTTGACAGACTTATCCTCAAGCGGATAAGTTCATATATAAGACCGACATCCAAATTTTTCAAAATCATATTAATAATGTCTTATCCATGCCGGTTTTCAAATTAGATCATTTAAAATTTAAGTAACTCACCCATCCAATAACCACTCAAATCGGACTAATCAAGACCAAATTATATATAACCCCGCAAAAATTGCAGGTTTTTACTGGACCACTATTTTTATCTTTAAACTTTTACTTTAAAAAATATTAAAGTCCAACTGATAATCCACTTGGCACTCGGCTGACGCCTCATGCATTGAAATTTTGAAAATATAACTAGACTTCTTGACACCGACCACCAACTCAATTTGTTATTGTGGTCTTTCGATGTGGGATTCCTTATACCAGGTACAAATTGCCTTTTGCCTTGGCTCTTCTTACCTTGGTTTTTCTTTGATTTTTTTAATACCTTGTGATATACTTTTGAGCTATTTTTTATATTATTAGTAATTAATTTTTTATTAATTATATGATTGATTTGACTAGTTAACTCATGATTGAACCAGTGACCCATTAACCCTGTCTCTTTATCGTATTGGTGTTCGAGCCAGATTTAAGAATCATGATTGGAACATATAATGGGAACATAAAATGGAGACTTAATGAGATTGACATCTGACATGAATTTACCACCTCATTTAAATTTTGCTAACTAATTTACTCCAATTCTGACTCTTTAAAATTTTCAATTCTTTAGTCTCCCACTCAGTTCATTAAGTGCTTTTTAAAATTTGAAGTATTTGTAGATACATGTCTCAGACCAGCAAGCTAAGAAACAAAATCCAAGTCACCTGCGAAAAGAGAAATTAAACAAGCCGCCTCTTTTCTTTTTTTTTCCTCTCTCCCTCTATAGCATAAATTGATGGTGATGAAATATCACTGGAGTTCGAACCCAAGAACCCAAGTCACCGCCATGACTGTAAGATCCTTGCTGGTTGGGTTGCTGATGTGAATCACCGAAGACGGCGGACCTTGTTGGCAGAGGAAGGAATGAATGGCAACGGAAAAATAGGCAAACCGGGTAGGACAGGTAAAGAATTGAGAAAAATTTAGAGAGTCAGAATAGAAGTAAATTAGTTGGCAAAATATTAATGAGGTGGCAAATCTATGCCAGATGCCATCTCTAATTAGGCCTCCATTTTATGTTTTCATTGTAGGTCACAATAGCATTATTGAAATTCAATCTATATTTGCAATTTTACCTTACCCGCCACGCAACCATACTACAAAAAATTATTGGATGGCAAGAATTAACTATTTTCAAAGAATAAAATTTGGTAAACGCAAGTTTGGGGTTGCACTTTTGTGTAATAGATTTTTTTCTAGTTAGGACCGACTTAGATAAATGCCATTGTGCACTAGTAAAAATGCCGGGCCAACAAATGTTATGTTTTCGAATATTTCTCTAGGACAATCTAGCACAATCATATACATACTAAAAAAACTGAACTAAGATTATATAATTCAAACTTACTTTTGGCAGCATCAATAGCTGTGGAAGATTCCTCAGCAACCAAGTGTAGCCCTTGAGATTTTGCAGGCTTTCAATTATAGTATTCACAAAGTGTTCTCTATTTTAGAGAGCAATTTTAATAAAAGAATTATATTATCGAGTAAATTTTTACACTCCTCCATTCTTATCATTTTATATTATCCTTTTTAGTAATAAATTTGATTTATCCCTTATTTTTATTCCATTATTTTGAATGAAATACGTTTATCTTGAATGTATTGCATAAAAAGAGAAATATATCCATTTTTTGTTACAAAAAATAGAGTAGAGTGAATTTGACTCTCCAACTATAGAGTTAAATTGGACTATTTATTTTAGAGAGTCTAAATAAAGAGTCAATTTGAGAAAAAAAAATTTAAGGGTTGACTTTCTATAATAAAGAATTGAGTGAAAATACAGAACCTACAGGAGATGGTCTAACACTAAATAGTTTACATGACCATGAAATCTAGTATTAGTGCAAATAAAACATACATAAAGGTAGTATTATTTGTATAAATAATACAGCACAGTAGTATTTGCATAAATAATTTTCCTCCCCTCATCCCAAAAGTTACAAGATTCCAGAAATATTATTCCAATGCTGTGATTTTGAACTCTGAATTTGCAACTACTAATGCCAGCAACGAAATATGTCTCGCCGATATCCACCCATTAAGCATAACTTGTCGCTCTCAAGCTAAAGTAGCAACCAAAGTAATACCCTTTGCTCTATTAAGTCCATTCAGTCTGCATTCTGAGATGCTACAAGAAAATAAATGGACCCTCACAGAAGCTACAGTTGAGGACTGCTTGGAATAAAACTGACGAATTAGAGTGCTTTCAAGCAGCGAGAAAATACAAGCAGGAAAGAGATTTACCTCTTATATCACAAATAATTTAGTAACCCAAATTTTCTGCAATTTCAACCTGCTCTTTGAGAGTGTCATAAAGGATCTCAACAACATTCAGTAGGAATGCATCTGAGCCATGTTTTGCTAGCAAAGACACTGCCACCGGAAGATTATCATACATCCCAAGAGGTATGCTCAACTGTAAATTGAATCAGTTCCACAAGAAGCAAATTACACTAACGAATAATCGACTGAGCCCACACCCTCCCAAAAAAGGAAATATCAAAACAATTCTTCTTGTCCAATTAAATGAAAATCATGTGGGGCTGCGTTTCAGAGAGAGAACCTGGCAAAATCCAGATACTCCAGCAATGGACAACAAGCTAAAAGCTCTGACACGAAAAGTTTCCAGGGTAGAAGCCTCTGTTTGTAGTTTTGGAGGAGGCCCAGGAACTGTAGGGATTGCAAGGATGCCCAGATCCTACAATTGTTCTCCAAAACAAGCACAATAACTAATGAAGCTACTGGAAATTTTAAGTGCAGAGAAGTTCAAATGATGGTTAATCTTCAATGCCAGAGTAAGAGATAAAGGACAAAACACCAAGTTTTTGTGGGTTGTAAACCATATAAGCAGGATCAAAGTTTTGTTTCGTAACAGTCGAAAAGGTTCTATTTCTAACGAATACCGAAACAAATCAACGATAGAATCAAAATTCTCATATTTCGACGTATTTTAGAATGTTTTGACATTTTTCCACTAATGTTTTAAAATGTTTCGAAGTTTTTCGAGATTTTTGATATTCAAAAAAAAAAATATCTTCGCAGCCTTTCCCGATCATTCTTCACTCAGCTCATGTATACAATCGATTTAACTATGAAATGTGTAAGAGAGATTTGATTACTTTGATTTGAGCTTTAAGGAAGTCCTGCCCTCTCGTTTTATACCCCTATATCGTGAAGAAGGTGTCCCCTACACCAGACCGGAATCTCCATCCCGATTGGGAACCACAAAAGTGATTATAGCATGACCAATGTTTAGGAATGTTTGAGAAATAAATTCCCAAATTTTTTATTTCCATTTTTGCTTCCGAAACATTCCCGTTCCCAAGTGATCGAAATAATGTACCGAAATAAAATTTTAATCCTTCCCAATAACTCCTAAAAGGTCAAAAACTTACGGACAAGGAGTAAACCAGATAGGGATTTTGAACAAATAAAATAGTATACCATCCCGGATTCCACTCCCTCTTGTTGATTAGACCATGTAAAAACTACATAATTAATTCAAGTTAGATTGTTCTATCACTCCCGATGATGGAACAATCTCTACTTACATGCATACATCTTAATTGTTTAACAACTACTGCCTCCTTGTCATCAGAAGGTGTCCTCTTCTTTGTTTTTCTTTTTATTTTTCCTTCTTTTTTTAAAGAAAACAGAAACAAAAACAAGGTGGGGTCCAGATCAGCAGCACACACGACACACACACATGTGGATTACAAAATATATTGGTTGAGAAATAACACGAGATGTCAAACCTCTGCATAGATTTTTACCAACATATGAATCTAATATCCATGTTATTAAACATTACCCAACTGTAGATTGTTAATATTAAATTAGCATCCATAACTGTAACATCCTCATGTTAAACATGCTCTAATCTCATTAAAATTTAAAATAATACCATCCAGTTGCATCTGTGACAAAATCATACGAAACCTACTCACCATTTTCTTCTAAAACAAGGGGATTACTGCAATACATGTGACATTGGCTTCTAAGACCGTACGTTTTTATTTCATGGGGGTGGAAGTGGGGGGGAGGAGTTAGAGAGAGAGTATGGGTGTACCCCAACAAGAGAAGCCAGAGCAGCACGTAATTCAGTCAACATTCTTTGGCAGACATCTATATTTTCATCTGTAGCTGCAATAGCTTCCCACACACGTTCTGATATCCCTGGACCTAAATCAGGTTTGACACTACTGACCCATTCACCATGATTTTTCTTGAACTCATACCTGTCTCAGAGAGATAAACAGTTTAACCTCAATACCTGAATAAAGAGAGGGATCTTTCAGATGGCAAGAGAGCGACTGCTATCACAAAGAATACTCAATATAGAAATAATATGAATGCAAAGTGAAGTAAATAATCATGATCTGCGACCTTTGAAGTAATCGCATGGCACTTGAAAGAGCTACCAACGATGGTATATTAGGCTCTTCATTTCTGCTTCCTTTCCCCATGAAAAGCTTCAAACTTGGAACTCTCTCCTCAACGTAGGCCCCAAGGCTCACAGTTTTCAAAATGTGACCTGCATTTTCAAATACATAAAGCAAAATTGAATCATGAAAACAAACTGATATTGATACTGAATATACATTTCAAGTATCTCATATACTATATTCAAGATAGTAGCATCTTATTAGTGGTCATACTGCCGGTTGTCATTATTTTTTTCCTTTTCACAGCACATAGGACACAGTGAAATGATGAATTCATTGAGTGATGGGTTGGTATATTCACATATGATCAAAATCGATATGGGATCATTAGTTAATTAGGTGGTTTATGAACTCCAAATGCCAAATACAGAGCCTGGCCATATAGCACATCCAGTAAGTTAACCTACACACCCCCAAGTAACTTCTCTGCAGCATTAACAAGAACTTTAGAAACTCGATCACTTGGAATGCTTAGAAGCTTGAAACAATCATCTGCAATAAAAATATGCTCGGGTCTAGCAGGATGCATATCAGGCATTTGCAGTAGAACCCTCCCAACTTGATTCAATAGCACAGGGTCCCTGGCAAACCAGCCTGGAAAACAAGAGTCAAAAAATGACTTGCCAAATAAAATTAGGAAGCTTGTCTCACCACAACGACAGATTAACATTAAGTAGAATAATGCCGATCACATCAGAGAGAGAGAGAGAGAGAGAGAGAGAGAGAGAGAGGTAGAATCCCATGGACATAAGAAAGCCACTCCAAACGTCAGAGCTATTAAACACGCATGCACACACACACACATACGAGAATAAACATGCACACATCGGCACACCTACCCATGTACAAACTTAAGGTGATAGTATGTAATTTATGTTCATCTCGTAAGCTTTCAAGGTGCCAAACCCATTCAATAGACATTTTTGTTTTTCCTGCCTAACTGAAAAAGATATATCTGACCATAAAATGAAAATATAGCAATGCAGAAAGCACTTACCTTAGTACCTTAATAAGACACATTGGACCCTTCTTAGCTACCACATAGCTATCTTGCTATGAATTAAAATGCAAAGTGAACATGTCAGGAAATGTTACATTAAAGGTTTCTTGAGAAAATAAAAATTCATATCTGAATTCAAAAGTAAATGCTTGTTTAAACTGCACTATGATAAGAACAATATAATTGGCCATTATTTTGCACTTGTGATTTTCAAGTTTAGAGTTGAGCATTTAGTGCATCAGTCTTATCAATTATGTGAAGGATGTGTTGTTTGTAGTTAGATGGTTTCTCACCCACAGTGTCAAGACTCTGTGCCATAGGAATAACCCCTGTAGTAGAAACAACTCCATGAGAAGGCCGAAACCCAAAAATCCCACAATATGAGGCTGGAACTCTTACGCTTCCTCCAGTGTCAGTACCTGTGATTGGAAAGTTTTGCTTCAATTAGGAATATGGAGAAACCCATGAAAATTCTCCAATGTCAAAAAACTCACCTAAGGAGAAATCTACAAGCCTTGCACCAACTGCAACAGCAGATCCACTAGAAGATCCTCCAGGTACCCGATCTGAAGCACATGGATTTGTAGGTGTCCCATGATGTTTATTTTCTCCATTTATACTGCCAAAAGATGATTGATTCATTCTTGTGACTTACGCGCACACAGAAACACTGAATATTCTTTTTTGTGTAAGGAAGAAGAATTAGATGAAGCCTAAAAGCATTTACAAAGCTGTTGGCAACCAAATTACAAAAGACATCGAGGTAATTCAGTTTTGCTTTCCATGTCAGTTGAATACTATATATCGGTAAAAGGAAAATCAAGAGAACGAAAAATTCACAATGCGTGGAAAGGAATCATTTCATTTTCACAAGTCTTCCAAAAGTCTCCTAGGCATGGTTCAAAAAATGGGTCAATACTAATATGAGTCGGACGAGTATCCGACTCGTCACCTCCCAAAACGATACTATTATACGATGTAAAACCCAGAAAAATTAAAATTTTATTAAAAAGGGCTAAACAGTAATTTGTCATTACGGTACGGGTTGAAAATCCGAATTTTTATGGAACTCGGATGGCAAAATGGACCTCACATTTGGATTCATATCGCGAAATATAACTATCCAGTCAATTTTCGCCAAAAGTCAAATTTTTCACTTTTTACGAGGCAATTGGATGTCGTGCGACTAAAATAAATACGACTAGATTTTATTTATGGGACCCGAAAAATAATTTAAAGTTAGTTCAATAAAAATGTACTAAATTTAAACCGAGACGAAATTTAATTGACTCGAGACAAAATTTGATTAGAAAAAGGGGAATGTGCACCGCAACGAGGCCAAGTATTTGATGAGTATAAAAGGGGAAGAAAATCAAATTTTCTTCCCCATTTTTCAACCAATTATTGGATAGAGAGAGATAAAGAGATGAGAGAAAGAAAAAGAGAAAAGTCTCCCTCCTTACCTTCTTCCTCCAATTTATGACGATCCGACCGTCAGATTTCTTTGAGCTAAGAACTAAAGTCGTTCTACATGACGAGACCTATAAAATTATACTAAAGATCGTGAGTTTCGCAATAATCTCAAAGACAGATTTTCGGGATCAAGTTTGGGAAGCTTATTTTGGGCGTTTGGAGCTTCTAGTACGCGGATATATGCTAAAAGAGGTGAGGTTCCTTTTCTATCTAGCTTTATTTCCAACTTAGAGTTGAAACATGAAATTAGTAGGGTGTTAGAGATGAAATTATCATGCATAACATATACCTAGAGTTGATAGAATATGAAAAAATGGGTAAAATAATATGTTAAAACTAATTCTTGTATGTTTTGGTTTGACAAAATTGATTGATATGAATTTCATGAACAATGTGTTATTTGGGCAGGTAAGTGTTTGCATTTATGCCTTAGGTGTTTGATGAAATGCCCATGGATGATTAAGTGTGTTATTTTTAATGAAAAATGCTATAACATGATTAGTAGTGTTGGTAAATAATATTATATGTTTTATGATATAATTGACATTTGAGAAATTATGAATCTTTGTGAAAATTAAATATATGTTCATAATATGCTCATGATATGATGAATATGATATTGTAAATTGTAATTGTACATTGCATTTGCATATGCACGAGTAGTATCGCATTCGTGGGCATTCAACATGAGTGTGGGTGTGTGTACATGATTTTAATCAAACACCATCCTTGGTGGGTTGATACGTGGGCTTGAAAAAGTTAGACCTAAGTTCGAAATGGTTGATACGTGGGCTCAAAAAAGGTTGGACCACCGACCTTTGATCAATAAGCCTTTTTGGAGGCTATGGGTGCAATGGATGCTACCTTTGTACAAGCCAACACCAACATAGGCCAAGGAGGCTCGAGCAACCTCCATAGATTCAAGGCACACAAACCGCCCACCTTTATGGGAGGGGCAGATTCCATGGTGGCCGTCCATCGGTTCCAAAAGTTAACAAGATCTTGGAGGCTATGGAGATCACATCCAACGCTACTAAGGTAAGGCTAGCAACTTTTCAACTTGAGAGAGAGGCTCATCTATGGTGGAATTGGGCAAAAGCCTCAAAAAATGTTAAGGCGATGATTTGGAGAGAGTTCTGTGAGCTCTTCATGGGCAAATACTTCTCATAGACCTAACGGCAAGTGAAAGTCTGGGAATTCTTGAATCTAAAGCAAGGAACCATAACAGAGATGGATTACATGGCTAAGTTCACCAAACTAGCCCATTTTGCCAATGATTAAATGGCCACTAACTTGGCCAAATGAGAAGGTTTGAGGATGGCTCAAAGTTATCCATCTAAGGAAAGATTATGGGCCACCGCCTGCAAGACTCAGATTTGATAGTCGAGACGGCTATGGACATTGAGAGGGAGGTGAAAAATACTAAGAGCATTCGAGAGGCAGGTGCTAAGGACAAGAAAAAGGAGGGTCAATCCTCTTCTACTAATTCGGGAAAAAAGTAAAGGACATCTACCCCACAAGAATATCAAGGGCAGGGCCGAAACTATCAAAGTCAAGGCCAAGGTTAATCTTCCCAATGTAGGAGAAATTTTAGGGCCATGACAAGAAGACTTGCTACATTTGCCACCAACCGAGGAACTTTAAATGGGATTGTCCTCAGATGCAAGGATCCTAGAATTACGAGACACCTCAGTTCCAGTCATCGGTGCTGCATCCACAGAAATTGTTCACTTCACCCTATCCCACCATGAGCCAGGGAAATCAGTTCCAGTTCCAAGGTCAATGGGCTAAGGCCGAGGACAGGATTTGCAGGTAGGGACTTCAAGGACCTAAGGGCAAGTCTTCACCATCACACCACAAACTGAGCCAGCAGACCAGTCAATAATTTAGGTTACATTTCTACTCTCTTGCTAATGGGCAAGGGTATTATTTCATTCTGGTGCATCTCATTTATTCATAGTTACATCATGTATAAAGAATTTGAGCTTAGAGGTTGAGGCCTTAAAAGAGCCATTACATGTGAATTCTCCCCTAAAAACTAGAGTTTACATTGACAAGATATGTCGAAGATGTGAGTTAGATTTCAGGGATTTAACTCACTGTGGACCTAAGGGTCATAGACATGTCAGAATATGACGCCATCTTTGGGATGGATTGGTAGACGGTATACCGAGCCGTCATCGATTGTGATTGGAAGAAAGTTAATGTTTATACACCAGAGAGTGTCTACTTCAAATTTCAGGGAAAAAAGTACAATGTTTTACCCCAAGCCGTGTATCACTCTCGTTGGCACTGACTATTGAGGGGTTGACTTGCGAGCCTTACACTTAAAGACGAAGTGAGACAGGAGTTGGGTCTACCTCGGATAATTTACGAGGATGAGGATGTTTTCCCAGACAAGTTACTGAGATTGCCTCCACATCGGGATATAAACTTCACCATTGAGTTTTAACCGATGCCTCTCCTATTTCTATGCACCGCATAGGATGGCACCTGTAGAGTTACAAGAACTCAAGGTCTAGTTGTAAGAATTATTAGACAAGGACTTTATTATACCGAGTACTTCACCTTGGAGTGCTTCGATATTATTTGCCAAGAAGGACAGGACCCTTAGACTATGTATCAACTACTGACAGTTGAATAAAGGTCACTATCAAGAACAAGTACCCATTGCCGCACATAGATGACTTGTTTGATCAACTGAAAGGGGCACAAGTCTACTCTAAGATAGATCTGCGCACAGGATACCATCAGTTGAGGATTAGGGAGACCAATATCCCTAAAACGGCATTTAGGACGCGATACAAGCATTTTGAGTTTACAATTATGCCCTTCAGTTTGATGAATGCCTCAATGGCATTCATGGATCTTATGCATAAGGTGTTCTAACCTTATTTAGATCAATTTGTCGTAGTCTTTATTGATGAGATTTCGATCTACTCCAAGTCTGAGGAGGAACATGAATGTCACTTAAGGATCGTTCTCTAGACCTTGAGGGACTATCAATTGTATGTCAAGTTCAGTAAGTGTGAATTTTGGCTAATAGAAATAAAATTTTTGGGATACGTGATGTCTGTTTCGGGTGTGTTAATTGACTCAGAGAAGGTTGAGACAGTTATTAATTGGGAGAGGCCTAAGTTAGTCTTTAAGATACACAGTTTCTTAGGATTGATAGGATATTATCAGAGGTTCATTGAGAACTTCTCGCGGCTAGCTGCACTTATAACTAGGTTAACCAAGAAAAAGGTCAAATTCTAATGAGATAACTTATGTGAGAGAACATTCCAGGAGTTAAAGAGGAAGATTACTTCAACTCCTATCCTTGTAGTTCCAAAGAGGGGGCAGAGGTACACAATCTATTGTGATGCCTCAAAAGACGAACTTCGATTTGTTCTGATGCAGTTCGAGGGATGATAGCTTATGGTTCATGGCAGTTAAAGAGACACGAGCAAAACTGCCCCACACATGACATAAAATTGGCGGCCATTGTTTTTGCCTTGAAAACATGGCCCCACGATCTGTACGGAGAGTAGTTTGAGGTGTTTTCAGATCTCAAGAATTTGAAGTACATCTTTATACAACGAGACCTCAATATGAGACAGCACAGGTGGATGAAATACTTGGAGAACTATTACTTCACTTTGCATTACTATCTTGGTAAGGCAAATGTGGTGGCCGATGCAGTCAGCCGAAAGTCACGGACAGTCTTGGCTAGTATAACTTCTCCAGAGTGGTAGACACTCAGACTGTGGGACAGTTTGAGCTACACTATAGAAGTTAGGCTCAGGGTACTTTGAAAAGTCTGGTAGCTACGCCTTACTTATTGAGCAGGGTGATCGAGTCCTAAAGACAGGACACAGAGATATTATTTATCAAGGACCGAGTACAGTCGGGTACAGGTGAGGCGGACTGAGCCATTCACGCTAATGGTAGTGTTCGATTCAGGAAAAAGGTCATGGTTACCCAGTCTACGAATCTGAGAGACATCTCAGGGAGCTCCTTTGCTCCCATTTTGCGATGTATCCTGGTAGCCCAAAGATGTACCATAATCTTTGTTGTCAATATTACTAGAGCGGGATGAAGAGACGCATTGGAGACTTTGTTAGTAGATGTCTCATGTATCAACAGGTCAAGGCTGAGCACCAAAGACCAGCGGAGTTGCTCCAGCCTTTGGAGGTGGCTGAGTGGAAATAGGAGCATATAACTGTGAATTTTGTGACACATTTACTAAGAACTTTGTGTGGGTATGACGCGGTGTGGGTGATCATGGACTGGCTTACAAAGTAGGCACACTTTTTAACTGTACGGGTGACCTTCACACTGGAGTTATTTTGCAGGTTGTATATATGGGAGATAATCTGGTTACATAAGGTATCCGTATCTATAGTATCAAATCGGGATCCTAGATTCATGGTTCAGTTCTGGGAGAGCTTTCAGTGAGCCATGGGGACACAGTTTATGATGAACACAACTTTTCATCCCCAGACGGACAGTCAATCAAAGAAGACTTTCTAGACTATAGAAGAAATGTTTTGGGCATGCGTCCTTAACCTCGAGGATAACTGGGAGGAGTAGTTATTCTTAGTGAAGTTCGCCCATAACAATAGTTACCAGGCAAACATACAGATGACATCCTATAAAGTACTTTACGGGAGGTCGTGTCATTTTCTGGTATGTTGGACATAGGTTGAAGAAAGACCTTTTACGGGTCCGGACTTGATTACGGACACCTCAGAGAAGGTGAACTTAATACGGAGGCGTCTTCTTACGGCTCGAAGCCAACAGAAGAGCTACACTGACGGGCAGCGAAAACCTTTGGAGTTCGAGATTAGACATCACGTCTTCTTGAAGGTCAAGCATAAGAGGGAAATGGTCAGGTTCGAGAAGCGAAGAGAGTTGTCGCCGAGGTAT